GTGTTATGTTCAAAATAATATAACATTGAATATATGAAAATTTAATATTTTTCTGCGACTTTGTCTACGTGGGTGTCTATTTTATTCCCTTAGGAAAACGGAAAAAGGTTGCATTAACTACTATCTTATATAAAAGACCTCTTTAGAGACCAAAGATTTTAAAATGTCTTGTAGTTTTTGAATATCAAATTTATTATTTAAACACTATTTGTTTTCAAATATTTTTCTTTTATTTCGACATACAAAGATATTTTCTTTTTTTCAGAAGCTTTACTTATTCAGTTTTTACTAAACTATAACACACCTAAAAGTATAAGTAAGGGATTAGTTTAGGTGATAAGTCACGCTAAGTAACTCATAGTCAAGAGACGGATTAGGGGTGGTTGACGAAAACGGTCATCAAGGTTTAAGGAAACGCTTTTAACACACTACATACCTAATACCACTACATAAGGTTCAATTTGGACGTCACAAACAAAAGCTATCTAATGAGTGTTTTTGTGAATACACAGGGAAGTCAAAGCAGTGACTAAAGGTGATGAAATAATTCAATACCTTCACTATCAGATCATCTTTGTAGACCCAGTGTTCGCAAAACTGGAATAAAAAAGTTTAAGTTCAGAATAAAATAAGGACTATTTTCCAGTGCGTTTTTGTCTGGTGAACATAGTCTTATTTAACCAATGTGTATATGATGAATGGTAATTTCTTTATGTTTTCTGTTTCTAGTCTTAGTGACTCTTAAAACATCCTATTATTTTCTCCAAAGGAGTAAATTCAAGTTCTTGGGTTTTAGAGAATGTGACTTCAAGACTGATGTTAGTCGCAATCCGGGAGTCCTACCATCTGTCTGGTCTGTGGACTCTAAACCTCATACTTTGGTATCAACAGACCAAACAGATATTCAATAGTATGCTTACTTTTGAATCAGGCTTCACACAGAAAAAATTCTTGTACACAGTACACAGGTTAACAGGTACAGGCACTACTGGACCCATCACTCCATAGTTTTTTTTTTTTTTTTTTAAAAAAACGTTGCCCCACACTAGGATTTTCTCCTGTGTCGTGGGTGCGTTTACAAACATACAAGTTCACATACACGTGACACCCAGACCCGGAACAACAATCTGTGGATCACACAAAGAGTTGTTCCGTGCGGGAATCGAACCCGCGACACGTTGCGCGGCAGCCAGTTGCCCAGCCACCGCGCCAACCGTGCAGCCTACACTTGAACTCCCCTAAAATATACCCAAACCTTATGAAAAATTGTATAAAACCATTGTAATAGATCTGAATAGAACAATTAATAACAGGAATTCTATTGAAAACACAGTACCAATGAGTTGAGTAATTCGGTCACCATTTATTATGATACTTTAATCTTTCAAGGTTGTGACGTCATTCTTGAGGTCATGCCTCCTATTATGGATTCAGTGTACCGTAACTGTAAGGACGAATCGAATTTTTTATATGTAATAAACTATTGATGAGCGATTGGGAAACGTGAGATGTTTTTTCAATGAAGATGTTGTCTATTCGCCAATTCTTTTAGGAAGTTCAAATATCTATTTTGATTGTTCTTTCTATGGTAGTGCACAGAATCAGCAATATATATTTAAAAAAAAGTTGGGGCGCTAAGATTTTCTGTTGTATCGTGAGTGCGTTCCGGAATCTGTGGATCACACAAATAATTGTTCCGTGCGGGAATTGAACCCGCGGCACGGTGCGCGGCAGCCAATTGCCCAACCACCGTGCCAACCGTGCAGTCCATTCATAATAATATTGTCATTCTCTTCATTTCTGTATTTATTATTCATAAATTTCCTAAATAAATTAGTTCACACTGCATGATGAACTTTTGCAGACTTGAGATTGTTTTTTTTTCGATTTAAGCAACATAAGTGGAGAAACCGATCTTATGAATTTCCATTTAGATGAGCATGTTACTATTTGAATTTTTAAATGTCAAAAATAACCGATGGCATCTGAAACGACGTAATAAAATTATATCCAAGTCAGACTGTGGTCGTTGTTGCATCGATTGCATTTCAAACAATGGCAGTTTGTATCAAAGCAATAATACGGTGGGTTTAAGGAGAACTAGTGAGCATAAAAAGTAATGGTATGAACCGTATTCTTGTATTGACTTTTACTACTGCACGGATAAAAGGAAGTCAAGCCAAGTGTTTCGTGTCGCACTTTAAAGAAGTTTTAGACTTTTGGAAGCTGATGTTTGTGATTTACATAATTTTATGTGTAGGTATTGCGAGATTATTATTAACATTCTTGATAGATAAGAGGGTCTCTTTCGTAAAATAAGAACAAAAAAATAAAAACATAAAACGCTACAATATGCTGTAGTTTATCAAATAAAAATAAATAACACATGACACGTTAAACGATAAATTGAAATTGGAACAGCGGAATTCATTTGTTTTTTTTTTGTCGATTAAATTATGTAGGCAAAAGTAATTTTAAAACAACACAATTAGTTAATGGAACGAATGAAAATGGAGAAAAGTTTTAAAAATCGCAAGCGTAAGGAATTTGCGACGTGGTCTCATTCATATGTGGCATTCAAAATCAGTGCCCCGACACCCGTTCGAAACACAACGTGAGAATGGTACCTTGGAAATCGGCTTTCTGCAATCCAATGCATTAGAAAGAGACCGCCTCAGAAAAAAGTGGCTGTACAGAAAAGGATAGATGATATGCGGACAGTCTGAGACGCGAGTAGAATTGTAAATGTGAATTGCTAGTCGTGAATGCAGTTTCAACCTAGTTTGCGTTACCGGTTAGTTTTCTGTTGCAAATGGACATAATTTGGAATTCTTTCGATATAGAACAGTGGACGCTGCAAATTAGGTGAATTAGCAAGTCG